TTGCCTCGCGCCCCATGTAGGTATCGGGAGCTTAATTCCTTCCCTGCTCTCTTCGGTATCAGGGGTGGACGATCTCATGATGCGTACGCACAAGGCACAACATGCGTAAGCAAGGTCATGTGCGCATGACATGCCCCAGCCTACTCGCGCACGTACGCCATTGATGTTGTGTCGTTTCGGCGTTCTCTGTTGTGTATTGTGGGGTCTCGGCGAGGCGAACGAGCGCATAGCCACGCCACGCTCTTGGAGCGAACGGACACAGCAGACGCGGTCGGTACAAAGCACACAACATACATGCATTTATTAACTAATTTCGACGACGATATCGTGTGCCGAATGTTACATCAACTTTAATTAACACGCTACCATACAAACAACATAACACAGTGACACACTAAACACACAATAACATAATAAACACACACTAACACACCCAACACACAAACACATACCCAAGGCGGCGTCGCCAACGCCCGACTTTCCACGTGGGACCCCGGCGCGAAGCCCGCGGTGCCGAGCACCGGGGACCCACGCTACAGACAACCGTTCGCGGCAGCCGCCACGCGCAGAAGAGGCTCGCTGAACTCTCGCCCACCACCAAGGCGTGCCTTCCGCCAGGGGCCACCGCCGGCGCTACCACTCTACCAACAGTGGTACTCAAAGCGAACACAACGCCATCTATCGCCCGGCGGTGGTCACCACCGAAACAAAGCCTTTGGGCGAGACACGTGCACCATGCGGCGCAGACAACTTCACAGGGGGGGTGTCAGCACCCCCACAGTATTACCTGTTTGTGTGGGATAGATCAGTCAGTACTCGTACTTTTGGAGAAGCTGACATCGATCATTAACGTGACCCTGATACATGACCTTGCTCCGCTGAAACTGCGGTCAGAGACGGCGCACCAAACACAAGCTAAGCGTTGTCAGGGTTGGCGAAGGCACGATGCAGGAACGACGAGAAGACGAACACAAGCAAAAGGGGTGGTGGTGGTAGTAGTAGTAGTAGTAGTAGTAGTAGTAGTAGTAGTAGTAGTAGTAGTAGTAGTAGTAGTAGTAGTAGTAGTAGTAGTAGTAGTACAGTTGAGCCCACATATAATGGCCCCACTTAAAATGAACTTTCGCTTAAAACGAACAATATCCTCGTGACCGTGAAAATATACATTGGTTCAATGGCACAAAATCGCACTTACAACGAACGTCTCCGAGCGCCGCTGATCGGTTACAGCGAACGGAGTCAGCGGTCTGCCGACTTTCCTGGAAACCAATTTCGACCACCGATCAGGCATGGGCGAGGTGCCCATACATTCTTATTGTTAAACGCCGACCCTGCCTCCGCGACCCTCTAGTTGCCGCTCTTCCCAACCCATGGAGGAAGGAAAGCTGTTTCCTTCCTCCATGCCCCGACTGCTTTTTGTTACGCACGCCTTCGTCCTTTGTACCCGCTACTCTGAGCACCCCGCATCACCAGGCGAGGCCCGTGTTTTCACACTGCCACCGATCTTTCGAAGACCAGTCGGCCATCTACCCCGTTTTTGATCGCTGGTACTGTCGTTGACGTCGCCGGCCTGGAGGAATCAGGCGAACAGCACTTTGAGATAGGTAATAGTGCACTTGAAGTTGCAAAATAGTACGTCTGTTTACGACAGGTAGTACCTGCGGAGCCAAACCATGAGATTGAAGTAACGGAAAGATTAAGACGGGTGAAGCATATTCAGCAAGCATTCTTAAATTATCAATGATAGATTGCCACTATTCCTCAAGCGGAAGGTATATAACAGCTACATCTTACCTGTACTTATACAGTGCAGTCCACTTATAACGATACCACATATAACGATATATCGGTTATAACGATGGGTCGACCTAACAGTCTCATTTTATGCATTGGGGCTATGGGGAAAAAAACCATATATAACGATATGTTATCCACCGCATATCGGATACAACGATGAAAAGTTTGCCGTGGACGGCATGTTTCATTCAGAATAATCGTAACATTTAGATTGATAAGTTCCTCTGAAACGAACTATGCCGAGACAAGACGAAAAGTTAGCGTAGGCGAGTACCTGCCGCCACTGCAGCACAGCGCCGGCAGCGCGTCCCAGCCGTGCAAAAAGCCGAGGAGAGCGTCGCGAGTTGGCGCGACGCGCTACAGATGGCGCCAGCTGTGTCACGTTTTGCGCCTCGCCGCGCGTCGACCGCGGAGAGGCTGAGAGAATTAAAAAAAAAAAAATGCGAAAAGCAAAGCGCCGCGCTCCGCGGCTCCCCGCCTTCTACAACGGCAAGCCGGCAAGCTACGAGTAGCTTGCCGAACCAAAGCGATAAGAGAGAGAAAATAAAAAAAGCGAAAAGCAAAGCGGCGCGGCGGCATCGGGGCGGGACCTCGTTGGCATTCCGGCTGTGTACCTCTGGCTGTGCTTTCTTCCTCCCACTGCTCCCACCCCGCCGTCGGTCAGTATCTCTTCCTCAGCGAACCCGTCATGCGTTCTTCGGAGTAAGAAATAAAGTCTTGTTTTTGACATCCTACTATCTACAATATTTATTAATTGGTGAAAATAGCGAAATGAAGCCTGGAGCTACAAAAGGTACGTCCGGCGACGATTTTTGGCGGCAGTCCAGATATAACGATCACCGGTTATAACGATCATATTTTTAGGTTTTCTCGATATCGTTATAAGTGGACTGCACTGTATACATGCGGAGCAGAAACCTGGTGGATACAATGAGGGTTCAACTTAAGTTGAGGTGGATGCAGTGAGCAATGGTAAGGAAAATGATAGGTGTAACCCATAGGGACAAGAAGATGGCAGGGTTTTATCAGCAAACAAACGAGGGTTCAGGACATCATAGTCAAAATCAAGCAGAAATGTCATTGGGAAGGGTAGTAGAGTAAAGGCAAGATAACAGTTAGTCATTAGGAATTACAGATATCTACCCATACTTATGAATGCTACCTGACATTCATATTCTCACCTACTGTACTTAATGAGTGCTCACTCACGTTTAAACTCACGACTACTCATATTCCTAAGTAATCACTCACATTCATGCTCACGACTACTCACACCCATGTGTACTCATTCACGTTCATACGCAACCCTACTCGATCACGCTCATGTGGGCTTACTCCCATTTACACTCACGACTACTCATACTCTGAGTGCTCACTCACATCCACTCACACTTATGAGTACTCGCTCATGTTCATACTCACTTCTACTTACACTCACGAATACTCACTCACATTCTTTCTCACTTCTACTCACCTTCGGAGTACTCACTCACGTTTTTGCTCACTTCTAATCACACTCGGAGTACTCACTCACATTCATACTCATACTCACACTCATGAACACTCACTCATACTCGCACTCGCCTCGTGCAAATAAGTATGAGTGAGTGTATGCTGAGCTATGGTCTTTTCACCGCATTTCCACTAGTTGAATTTTTTGTAGCAAGCCATCCATGTCTGTTGTACTGAGTGTGACATCTATAGTATTTTTTTCTAAAGCTTCCATATCTCTTTGTCCTGTCTGTGCTAGTTATGATGCATTAGAACGCACGCGTGTAGGCTAGAGTTGCCACTTTCACTTATAATGAATGCGGGAGGGCTTCTTGTAAAATTTTCTTATCGCTTGTCGCGGTATGTTAGGGCTTAATGACATTTTACCTTCAAATATAGTTATTTCAGTGATTAATTAGGCTCATCAATAGAGCATTTGTTGTTCAGTGATAGCGTGTGTCTCGATTACTTTAAGTAGCTGAATGTGCAAGTCAAACATGCGTTATGAGAATCAACAAGTACTGTATTTGCTCGCATATTCCTCGCATGTTTTCCGGCAAAAAATCAATGCAAAGTCTGGGGGTGCAAGAATTACGCGGGGAAAACTTTCCACAAAAACGTACAGAGCGAAAAAGAAAATGAAGTGGCCGTAAATTGGGATTCTCACACCAGCAACTAACAGCAAGCTTTGAGAAGTACTAATTAAAATTTACCTCAACAATAAAAGCAGAGGTTCAACACAAGGCAAGATTTATTTGAGACACAAAAAGTGCAAGCAAATAGCCGAGAATTAGAATACCATACGCGAAGCTTGTGGGCGTTGCTTAGCATCGTCACTCAACCGGAGCCCTCAAAAGTTAAGCATAGGATCTCAGTATTGGGCTGATGGCTATTTAACAGAATTGTCCCCAGTTTCCTTCTAAAGAAATAAAGTTTACCATCAATCCCAGTCACACGGCAGGCCCAACACGTCTTGGTGGCTTTCAGCTGCGTCACCAGTAGCGAACACAAAACTCGGCTTCAAAGGGCCTACCGGCGGCCCTGTTGCCGTTGTTTAGCGATGATCAATCAATTTCCACTTTAAAGCAGCCGTGTAGCTTCAGTATTGCCCCATAACGTGGCAAGATTACTGACACAAAAATACAAAACACGCCGCAATGCGCACTTGCCCCTTTGGCTTGGCTTGGATTGGATTAAATTTTCGTGCAATAATAGTACGCTTGATGCTTAAGAGATGGCGACAGATGGCGTGTGCTATCATCATCAACGGCTGGAACGAGCAGACGACATTATTGCGGCAATTTCTGGGGGTGCGATGATTACTCGAGGAAAAAAAAATGTTATTTTTGTTGGGCAATGTGGGGGGTGCGAGAATTATGTGAGTGCGAGGATTACACGAGTAAATACGGTAATGTTAATCACGCACTGGCAAACATGCAAACGACTTCCTCCGCATTAGAGTAACACTTTTATTTTATTAGAATTTCTAAATATTTCGTTGGATGGGCAAATTCATATGAATTCTTCTTTGCGAAAACCTCATCGCATTTCTTGAGCTCCTTTGGTGATGATTATTTCCTTGTTAGCTCGTTAGCACTTGGAAGGTATGGTGCAGGTGCAGTTTCAGTGACTCACGCTGTCGCACCAACTTAGTGTGAGAGTGAAAGAAAAAGGAAGGAAAGGAAAAATTTTATTAACATAACGTAATTTTGCAGGCAAGAAGAAAGAAAACCCAGACGAGCATCTCCTCTGGCTCGTTCCTCGTCGCAAACTTCTTCCGAGAAAAAGGTCGAAGAGAAGAAGTTTGACGTGAAGAAAACTGATGCCAAGAAAGCTGAACAGAAAAAGGGTGAAGTAGCGACAAACGGGTAAGTGTAGGCTTACTTTTAAACTACAAAGCAGTGCATTTCTTTGATTCATGTTCCGAGAGACCATTCTCTTGCTAATTGTTTTTCTGTTTGCATTGCAATCAAAGCAAGCAACAGCCATGAATTAAAAACACACCGATTCAAAACAATATGTGTGTAAACTCATACCTTATTAAACAAAGTTGCATATCACACTTATTATATCTGAAATTTTGTTATAAAGGTATATTCTTAGCACTATATCTATTGAAAGACTATCCATCATTTAAAATCATAACAGGTATTTTTTTATTTTCGGGTTTGTTATATCGAGGTTTGAGTGTATGTTACTCAGAAAGCATTGCAAACGGCTGAAATTGACGATCGGCTGTGTGCAGGGGTGCAACAGCTGTGCCAAATTCATCAAATTGATAAGAGAAAGAGAGAAATAACTTTATTTGGTTGAAAAAAGAAGGGGTTTAGGACCTAGATGGGTGGGGCCCCATGCCCAAGGCTCCACTGGCTTGCGCAGCCTGCTGGACGTGGTCCAGGAGTGCTAGTTGCGCTTCCGGGTCTCAGCTATCAAGGAGTGCCTCCCACTGCTCCAAAAAGTTTTCCATTCTATACATACGCTGTAAGCGATTGAGTTCATTTGGCCGTTTAGCACAACTCCACGAGATATGGTAAAGGGTCGGTGGCGAGTTGCTACACCATGAACAATCGCGCCCATACAAAGTTGGATGAATTTTGTGCAGTCGTAATAAATTTGGATAAACTACCGTTTGAATTTTACGGAGGTCTATGGCGTCTTCCCCTTTAAGAGATTTGTGGGGGGCGCCATAGACCCTAAACCTAAACCACGGCTAAGCCATGACCTCGCGAAACGCAATCGCTCAGATAAAGTAACAACGCTGTGTGCCCATCGGTCCGCTGACTGCCGCGAATATCTATTGGCGGGATGACGTAACTTGACAAAAAAATGCGTTGTTGTAGCCAGCAACACTTCGCGGGTCAGCAAACGCTGTTGGAAACTAAAGCTGGAAGCGTACGCTGCTGTCAATGCACGTGAACTAACTCGACGTGCTGTGAACATCGGCTTTGCTGGTGACCACGTTGGTTGCTGTAGGAACGACACATTCGATAGATATGTGGTGTCAGCGCCGGGCCAATGGGCACGTTCTGGTGGCACCTTACTTAGTGAAATGCACCTTAGAAGCGAGCTGAGACGTTGTGCCCTAAACCTAAGTACATCGTCAAAATAAAAGGAAGGATGGGGGGGTGGGGGGTAGTGTAGTAGTTCGAAAATTTCTTGGCTTTGTTCTAACTCGTGCAGAACGGCACTTAAGCCACCTTCGCCACAGTATGCGGGTGGCCTGTGGAAAAGCGTTTTAAGATTTGATAGGGGCTGGTAGCACTAATCACGGGACATAGCACATGTTCATGCGTGTATGCGCCACATAATTGTTAGTACTAATATAATCGCTGACATCTAAAGAAGTTACTGGCAATTATTTATGCACTGTATGATATTGCTGCAGCCCTGCAAATCAAAGAAAACTGTGTGCCACCTTTTTTTTTTTGCCACCTCTGCTCCTCCGTTTTAATATGATTGATTGAGTCTTCAAGTGTTGATCACAGTAGCTATGTCGTTCAGAAAAGTGAGAGCCATCTCACTTATTTCATTTCTGGCTAGCTTGATAAAAAGTTCAAAGAAAGCCCTTGTAATGAGTGCATTTCTGCCCTTGTCGCTAAGAAATTGGTAGCCATTGTTTCACCGAACAGTATAGTAATTGCATTTGACGGGAAACTTATAACTGTATTCTTGTGAGAATCTGGCCAGACTGGTGAAAACCTTGTATGATGCGTTTACTTTCTTTTTTTTTCTGCTGGAAAATTGCACTCCTTCAGCAAACATGATTTCATGCAGTCCTTGCAAGAGTCAAGCTGGAGAGTTGGCTGCACAATTCACAACAAAGAACTGACCGCAAAAGTAGTCCAGTTTTTTCTGCTCACGCGAATTAAATGGAGTGCCAGAAACACTTGAAGTTGAGAAGGCAAAAGTAGTCCAGTTTTTTCTGCTCACGCGAATTAAATGGAGTGCCAGAAACACTTGAAGTTGAGAAGGTGCAAATAATTTGGCTTCTTAACGTAATAGGCAAGTATGCGACAAGAAATGGGTGTCAGAAGTATGCGATGACAAATGTGTCATAAATAAACACTTTTTAACATATATTTATTTTGCATCTAAAGCCGTAAGTTAACAAAAATAATTTCTCTTAGCAAAAGAGAATGATCGCTAAAATAAGAAAAAAGTGTCCAATGTATACCTCCAGCTGCAACACACCTTGATCTTTCTGAGTGTCTGAAGGAAAAGGTGCGAGAAATTGCACATGATTTGAATATTTTACGCTGAAGAGAACCCTTAGAAGTATGAAAAAATAAAATGGGGAAGGGGGAATATGGAAAAAAAAAAGCAGCACACTTCAGCCAATATACTTGCTATGACGATTGTAAAGAGTTTATATTTCACCGAAAGAGAAAATACCGTAATTTAGTTTAACTATGCATGCGAGCAAGTAGTTTCGCTCAGCTAAAGCACATTAAACACTGTAAAATCAGAGTGGAAAGAACGGAACGCGACAGTAACAGCACAGGAAAGGGGCTGAACAGATTGGTGCGGCACGCCAGTTCCGTCAGAATTTAAAGCATTTCGCTTTTTTTATATATCACTTACCACCACTCAGAATTTTCAACATATTCTTCTTAGCGAAATAAACATGTAGCGCCTTAAAAAGCATGGGTGGGGTGTGGAAGTGGTTGTTTAAAACAAGTGAAACTAATGCCTAGCGGGTATAAGAAAAGCTGGCAAATGCTGCCGCCAGCACTAATTGGGCACGCAGCGCCATCTGGTGTGACCGCCGTCGTTCGCCGTGAATTCGTGCAGCCTTCCGCTCTCGCCCGTCACACTTCCCCTTCTGGCCACCATACTGTGATTATGCTGAGTGGGTGTGAATTTGGCAGTGCAGCTAGTTTGGTGGATGCGAACAGCTGCTTCGTCAACGTAGGACACCGGGCACGTCTGAATTCCAAGATTTGTTGATGTCGCATTGCTAAATATAACTGTCGTTCAAGCACATGAATGTCAATTTGTGCACTTGAACGGCAGTTATGTCTAGTTGTCAATCCTACGATCAATGAGACGGTGAGGACATTGCTTGGACCTTCCGACACAGTCAGTTTTAGTTGGGACAATGTTACATGACTGTGGCCACGTAGGAAGGGAGTAGACCTACAATGGAGTGCGCCACGCCGGGTGCCCTGTCACCTTGCATCACAAATAATAAATCGTTAAAGGAATATGGAACGAAAATGGCCAAAACTGACGAAAACATGGAAATTTCATTGGGAACATGCCACTGTTACAGCAAACAGTTTATTTCATGTACAGTGTACTCTCAATTAATGAAAACTGAACGCACCGGAAAACTATGTTCCATTTAACAGGAGTTTCGTTTACTGAGAGGTGAATATGGGTGCAGAATACAAGCCCAAAACCAAGTATTTCAGAGACAATAGTTCCGTTTAAGCAGTAGTTCGGTTTACTGAGAATCTACTGTATTTTTTATCAGTTGGCTGCATTTTTAGTGGATTGTCAGCATCCAGCAAAACTTCACTTCACCGTGGCGCATGCAGGGTCCCTGTGTCGTGTCCTTCTCTTCCTTTCCTCCACCTCTCTTTTCATCCCATTCTCCCCCTTCCACAAAAGGGCTGGTGGTTAACCCTAGCAGGGAGCATTGTTCACTGCTGGTGCTGTTAGTAGTGGTTCTGGGAACCCTCGTGCATGGGAGCTGAGTGGGTTGAGAGACGTGGGCTACGGCTGGCGTTGTTGGCTGCCTCTTTCTGGCGTGTTCTCCCTTCCTGAAGTTCACGGTGACACTGCTAGACCGGTAGTTTCTGAAAAATTCATTAAATTTGTTATTTTCTTTTCTCTAGTTTCTGGCTGAAATGAAATTTGTGTCTATAGATAGCATCATCATCCAATCTTTCAATTCAGCTGAAAATGTTGATGGTAAAAGTTTGTTTTGTATTCCTGAAAACTTACCACAATTTTTAAATAAATCAGAATTGTGCACTCTACTTCTAGTTAACCTTTCAAAGATCTTTTTTATAGCACTTGCCTTAAAATAAAAGTGGTAACAGAAAAAATATGCACTGACAGTTAGCTGCTCTCTACACTTTTGAATTTATGGTAGATAGCAATTGTTGTTGGCCTGTGTTGCAATGGGATTTATGTTGAAGCAGCATGAAAACCTCCCGTCTAGTTCGACTTGGCGTTTGACGTAATGACATAATAATGCTACGGGCTGTTGTGCCCTCAACCACATCATAATATTCTCATTCCCTCTCAACCCCTTTGCAGAGGCTCCAGCGACTTTTCACCAACGTTGAAAAGGAACTCACCAATGTTGACAATTGGTGTTATGGAATCCCAAAGGTCCACCGTTGGGGTTGAAGGAGATGGCCCGGGTGTCTCTGACAGCACCTCACCATTGTCCGATCTCGCAAAGCTAAGCCTACTGCTGTCGCCTGAGCTGGATGAGGAAGGCCTGCAGGGCAATCCCCTTGCAGCGCCCGAGCTGCCCGAGGTTGGGAACTATTTGGACGTCTACGTGACGGAAGCAGCCAACCCATTGAACTTTACGTGTCAGTCGTGGAACGATGGGTCACAGCTGGATGCCCTGATGGCAGAAATGCAGAGCTTTTACGCGGCGGAGGGCTCCAGTGCCTTCCCCGAGGGCCTGCCCGAGGCACTGCTGTGTGAGGGGCGTTACTATGCAGGCCGCCACGTCGACCAGAACTGGTATCGTGTGTTGGTGCAACAGGTTGGTCTTTCCTATTTACAAATGAAGATCTGTTGGTGCGACATACGAGCTTGTTGATATCCTAATGTACCATGGGGGGAGAAACTTAAAAGGGGAGACGGGGCAATAAAAACTATTTTTGTTAGTATTTATGGAAATGAAGTGATGAAATTCGGCATGCAGATGTTATTTGTTATGCTGTTATGCTGATATCATAAGTAAAATCGTTTTTGAGGTATATGTTGCAGTTTCTCAGTTATCATACTTATAGACTCTCATTGGCATCCCGAAATCAATTGATGAATTATACGTAGGTTCACGCAGATTTTCTCTTAGGGATATTTACGAGGGCCAGTGCGGTGCCTTGGAGCTATTTTAATATTCTAATAGGCACACGAAACCTTTGTTTAATGTACTGCACCTACTGTTTTAAGAAGAACAACTTTAATAAAAAGCCAATGATGAAGTTGTGCATGATAGGCACACAAATATGGACAACTCTACTACTCTCACCAATGTCTCAGGACCCAGATGCAGAAAACGGAATGATTATACAGTAGAATCTCGATGATACGGCTGATAGTACGATTACGGTTCATGTGAATTTCGCGATGTTACGAATTTTAAGAAGGAACACTAGTATTAAAAATGAAATTTTTATTATTGGAGATATATTAATGAAATTTAGTGAGTATATGTATTTCTGTCTTCCTCTTTCAAAACTGTAATTAGTGTTGTTGTACCTCAGATTATGAAAAGTTAGTAGTTCTCAGATTATGAAAAGATAAGTGAAGTCTAATTAGGCCATTTCTTACAGGTGAATAAGTTACTTTCCCTTGATGTTTTTTGGTTCAGTTTAAAATGTAGCAGTAGCCAAAGATTTGCCATGTGGAGCTATGCTATTTATATTGATGCTGATATCCATCATATTATAAAATTTTCATTTATATTGATACTCCATAATATTGAAATGTAATTTGCTCACATTATAGCTCACAAAATCTTACATGTTCAACTCGGCCATAAAAAAATAGCGTAGTTCCATAGTTTGATTTCTCACGAGTTGAACAGTGTAACATTTATTAAAATATGCTTACAAAAACTTAACGAAAAGTTCAGTAAGGCTAGTAAGGCTGGCAAAAGACGTGAAGCTGAGATAATTGAATTTGAAGTTTTGACACTTGCTGCAAAAATTTCTAAAAGGATTCTTCGACAATAAACCTTATTTAGATGTTCTCCATCCGTTTTCCTGCTAAACAAAACAGAAAGTGTCTTATTTCAAAGTAGTTGGGTCCTGAAAAGACCATGGGGTATGCGACCGAAGCCACTGCTTTCTCATAAATTAATGAGAACTCAATTTGCAATAATTAACCACATGTTAATCAATAATTAACCACCTAAATGTTAGGCAGCATGCTGCCCTGTGTAATAGGTCTCTATGAGCTGAGCGTTGCTTACGCTCAGCCATACGCAGATGTATCATCCCAAGATGGTGCAGGGTACGCAGGGAACTGCATAGATTTTGCGTTTATGAAAAGCGCATTGGGGAAATCACGGTGAAACCAAGGGGACGTACCTTCACTCTTCGCTCAATCGCCTTCGTAAGCGGAGCGTGACATGTGCTCTCGTAAACGTAAAGGTGCCTAATGGGCACTGACTCCACCAATTTCTCGTCCCGACGGTGCACTCCTAGGCGGCACCTTGTTGTCGTAAGTCCGCTTTTGACCGCTTCCAAAAGCTTGTTGCGAGGGCAGTTTCAGACGAAACTCTCCGGACATCTTGATCGTGTGTATAAACTACCAGGGCAAAGCATAAACACGGTGCGTTGAGAAACGTGCATGAGCGCAAGAGCAGACATATATGATCGGACAGCCATGACGAGCACGCAAGAAAAAAAAATATATATAAAAAACCGTGATGACGGCTAATCTGCTTAGATGACACCATTTTAAGATGGCGAAAAATTGCGCACCAGGGAAATAGCTTCAAATCTAGCTCAAGATGGCAGCTCTCAGCCCACTGCAACACTCATGGTGTGCGTGGGAAGTTCGAACAAATTTTGTTCTTTTGGGGGCATTTTACTGCGGCTGGGGTGCTTTGAAGGCTTATTGCATTGCATTTCCCGACCGAACTTGGTGTTAGTGATTTGAGAGTAGGTGCATTGAGGTACAAGCGCCCCGAAAATTAGTTTTGCAAAAAACTCATTTTTTGGTCATTTTTGTTCGTTAAGACCTGTGGCACCCTCCTTAACCCATATATGCCTAGTGTCCTACACGTAGGGTGGTGAAACTTTTTAGCCTAATTAAAATGTTTTTCCTGGAAAAAAGGTAGTGCCACTTAAGGTGCATTTACGATGCCCCGTCCTCATTACATGCAATTCTAGGTGATTGCTGGGCTACAAATAGCCATGTGCTTGCAGTCACAAAATGGCTATTTCGGGTGCGTGTAACTGAGCACCATACTGTGAAAAACAAAATATTAGTAATGTAGGGTCAGACTGTTCTCGTTGCTTCTGATATATTTGTCGATTGTTCGTCAGTTATTGGGTGTGCAGTAACTTACGTATGACAGTAATAGGTGCAAATTTTTTTCTTCAGTTCATGGTGTGTGAAACACTGGTGTCCTACATACAGGACAGCTGCGAAACCATTGTCCGTAAAAGTTCTTTTTTTAATAAAAGCTTTATTATGTTTTTTGAGGTTGTAGCAGCAATTATTTGAGGAAATAAATTAGTTTTGTTAATTCTCCCAAGTTTAGGCATACTATATGGGTTAAAGGGCCTCTGACACTGAATTTGGAAACTCGAGGTTCTTGTGCTGTTTGATAGTCCTGCATGCGGGGCCACCTCTGACCGATTAGTGGCAAGCGTAGTCTAGAAAATATTTTAATTTGGTTTTAAAGTAAAGGTGCGTGCTCCTTCGAGTATTCAGGTGCAATCGACATTTTCTGTGGTTTGACGTAGATAAGGAATCCCCTTGTGACGTTGCAGGGCCAACATTTGCGGGGCGTGCACAATACCTCGACTAGCACCAGGCGAGGACTATTGTTCGTCACCCCTCTCGCTCTGTTTTCGGGCTGCTCTCAAGGTGGTTTTGGCTGTTTACACCAAGAATGGTTTTCTTTTTTCTGAGGGGGAGACGCTCAAAGCACCCAGATCGTTTGATTCCTCACTGCACGCGGGTCCCCTTATTTGAAAACAGTCTCATGCGCTGCTCCGCTATGGGGCGCTAGTTTCTTACGGAGCTTATGCGCACGTTTTAAACCGACGCAAAATTGTTTTTAAATAATGCCTCTAACAATAATTATACGATGCTTTAAAGCATTTACGATATAATTTTTGCACAACTAGATTCAAAGCTACAAATCACTGCAAATAACTCGCAAACAGAACTTTCACTCAGGGGTCCTTTAAGGACGCTGAGTGGACTCAGGGGTCCTTTAAGGACCGCGCAATTAGCTTATGCATGCTAATGGCACAAGGCGACTTGCGTGTGGAAGGAAGGCCCGTTCACACTTGGCCTCGAAGGGAGTGAATGCTGCAAAACTGACGGGAATTTCCCTCGCTTTACTACCTAAGTGGCCGAAAAACCACGCTGTGAAGCCGACGCGAAAAAATCGCTCAGAGACCAATTTTTCTGCCACGGGATAGCAGATTGCTTTTTTGCTTCACAGCTTTGGCTACAGCACAGAAAGCTACATTGGCCGCACTAGCTATCAAACCACGTGATGTAAATGACGAGTCGCGAATTCAAGATGCCGGAAGAGGCTTCGATGGTGGCTCGTGTCGTGGCAATCACGAAGTACCCACGCAGTACCCACGCAGCACGACAAAGCTCCCAGCCTAACAAAGACTCGTTCATCTAAGACCTGGTTTGGATTACGATCGCTGCAGATACCGGAAGTAGAAGTTGCAGTAGCAGCGAGTCTGCATGCCCTAACGTGCCTCGCTTGTGCACTGCTGGCTGAATCTGTCCTCACCGCTGCCGGTGCGTTCCCTCGTGTTGTTTCTACTGGCGTATCTCTTGAAAGAACGTTTGTACAGGTGTACACTTGCATGGATAACTTGAACTCTGTGCGAATTTTAATGCTCGTGAAACGGGCCAAATGGAATGAATTTTTGAAGAGGTGAAGGTGGCGGTGGTGGCATGTATACGAGTGGCAGAACGAATGTGAACAGTTTTGTTCATGCATACGTGGTCTTGCGGCTGCTCTGGCTTTTTGGCTTGAATTCTGTCGTGTGAATTCTCCGGGACTTATTTTTTTCTGTGTTGACATTGTAGCCCGTTTCTCCGGCCGCTTAAGCGATTAAGCAAGTTAATTTTCAACAAGTTCCGCCGCTCTTCTTCGCTTTGATGCTAAGTGTGAATGCGCTTCAAGTGCCAGCAGCGTGAGTGAGGAAACCGCGGCACTTTATTGAAAGACAGTGAAAGCAGGAAAGTTGAATAGAACATCATAAACTTTTTTTCCAGCAAGAAGTAGTTTACCCCAATTAAGTTCTTGTTCATTTTCATGATCAGCTTTAGCCTTTAACTTGTTTTTGGTTCATATAAATATTTTGCATGCCCTTTTGAATTCGTATCATCAGGATTCTACTGCATATTTATTTCTTGTGAAATGGCACAGAGATGTCTGACAGCAACTGCTATAAACATGGAACCTGAGAAAATGGAGCTATAGAAGCGGAACTCGAAAGGGAGCTGGCTTTATTTTTCATTGGAGAAATGCAGCATTGCAGCTCTATTGAGCTGCTATCTGTCCTCTTTACAATGATGCCATGATGGTGGCACTGTGCCCAGGCAAAGCTTTAAGATTTGCGGTTTATAAAACCCAATATTTTTGTCTGTTGACAACACACCAGTAAAATGTTTGTTCTCAACTTCTACTGCTTATTTTGGTGTAAAATTTCACCATCACATAAAAGATGATCTTACTTTTGCAAAAAAAAAAAATAATTACACATTTTAACCAAATTTACCATTGCCATTTCCCATCTTAATGGCTATTGTAAACTGTAGTAGAACATGGTAGTAAAACGCTAGCACCGTTAGAAGGTAACTATTTGTAACTTTACCAGACTAACACTGTTTCTCATTGTGCTGATCTTGTATTGTCTGGGGTTTTATGTGAAAAAAAGTAAAGGGGGCTTATCAGCATCTCTACCCTACTTAGGTACAGGGGCCACAAATGGCATCTGTGTACTTCGTGGACTACGGGGACTACGGCATGATGGAACCGTCAGAGCTGCAGCCCCTGTGGCAACGTTTCAGGCACCTGCCAGTGCAGGCCATTCAGGCATCCCTCGCAGGTACGTGTACCGTTAGCCAAACTCTCACTGGGATGCCAAACCGGCATGCACTTTATCTGATGACATCAGGCAAGAAAGAAAGGGGGAACAATATTTATGATAATCATGTGAGCGATTGTCAGATATATTTGAATAGTTCATATGGGTGGTTTGAACTACCTACAGCCGACATCCGAATTCGTGGACTTTCAAGAAACCACGAAAATGTCCGGAAAATGAATGCGCACGAAAATGCACCTTTTTTACAAGTATTTCTCGCTGGTAAAGAAGGTAACAACAGAAGTACAAGATTCTTGCTACAATCCAGTGAATGCATTGTTTGGGTCTATTAAAAAAAATACGACGTGGTTGGCATTACTCAACACTTTGGTCCCAAAAGTCACTTACTTTATTTATTTTTCTTGCACAGTGTTCCGCTTGCCTGTGATGATGCCTGCCTCAACTTCACATAGCGTTATGCTGTCGCTATACACCGATGCCAGTGTCATCAGTGCTCGCGTCAACTCGGAGCTTGTGGCTGTGTAGGTGCCGCCTTTTCGATCCCGGTGTCAGAGTTGTCGGAATCCTCTGTAACTTGACGGATTATTTTGTCAACGGTCAATTCCGCACACAGCTCGAGGTCTTTGTCAGCATCGACAAAGCGCCCAAAGGTTATTCCGACTGGAATCAAAACGCTGGCAGCATGCTGATCGTCATAGGCAACGTCTGCGGACGGAAGTTCGTCGTACACACTGTCCACTCCGGGCAAGACGGCCTTCTCGACGTCGAGTGTAAAGCCTGCATGGCCGCTTTCTTTACCATTGTAGGCCCATGAAGAGGATTTGTGTGCTTCGAATGCACGGATGAAGACGAAGGAGCAGTCAGCGTCATCGCTGTAAATTGCAAAGTCGTTTGCAAATTGCAAACAGCTAAAAACTCAGTGGATACAGAAGATCAAGCAACATGAACGCTGAAGATATCGCGCAGCCGTACACAATTTATTGCAGATCTGGCAGAACAACAGGTAAACGAACGCTGTGAGGTTTGACCACAGGTTCGTCTAAGCTACGGCTGGCAACGGATTGGCGTGCGCTGAATTGCGGCAATTGTGGTTTTGGCGGTACAGCAGTCGCTGTGCAGCGCTGGTGGTCACACCTGTGATGCGAATATGGTGGTTTCTACGATAACAACCAAAATGGAAGCGTGTTGACGGTGACCTCGAGTCTGTGGCAAGCAGTGAAAAGTCTGGAAAATCGGATGATGAAGGGTGTAAGCGTCTGAAATTCCTGACTTTTTAATACATTGACTCTATCAGAAACTTGATGGTGCCACAGATGAGTCAGGGAAATCAGGCATGTCTAAAATTTCGGGCGTCCGAGAAATAGGACATCGGTTGTAGTATATATATAAATTAAGAAAACATCATTAGTCTCAGCTCGATGCCTGCTAACAGAGTTCTACAAATCGTATACCTTAAAAAATGAAATTGTGCATGTGTGCTAAGTGCTGGTGGCCATGAGCCAAAAACGTAGTCTCATGCCTCTACAATGAATGCTTCTGAAACAAAATGGCCTGTATAACAAATATTTCTGCCGTATTGGGAGCATCATGGTGTGCTAACTTTACAATTAATTGCTATGTATAATAAAGTGACTTGAAAATCCTGAACACTTTGTTTTAAAGGCATTTTACTTCACTTAAGTCTAAGCCGACTTTTTAATTTCTAGATGAATCTTTAAAGTAAAAGAAATTACGGATCCTGCAAAATGTTCCTTGTGTCTTAGCAGTGCCTCCTAGAAAAAACAGTGCGTGGGACTTGAGCTGCAAAAGTGCTGCCCAACTCTTTCTATTATTCTCCTTTCCACTTGGTACAGTCGCTAGAGCCTCTCGCGGCTACTTCTTGCAACCTGCAGCAGCGCCATTGGTAGCTCGATAATACGTGACATGTGTCGGAAGAAAGAATGCCAGTGTTGTGAAAACCAACAAAAAATTTGATCAAACAAGAGCGCAACGAAACTTCTTGAACCCGTTAAGGATGCGACGTCGAGTTTTCAAAACAAGTTTTTATAATCATGCTATGCAAATAAACAGACATTGAGGGAAATAAATGCCTAAGGAAAATGCTGCAACGCCCATTTTCGAAAAGCTTTTCTTGCCTTGATTTCGCAAGCGTTCATGAAAAAAAGGATTTGTTATTGATTTGTATGTTCATCTTGCCTAGAAATTCAGTTTTGCACTGCGTGCCCAATGCTCATTGAGCCTCGGGGGAAAACAGTTGCAAATACTTTCGGAGAGCTCTTTGCAGGACCAGTGACTCGATGCGATTTCGAGAGACGACAGGGTGCCAGCGTGTTGCTGTGTCTGACATTAAGAGTAACTGACAGGAACGCTGCTGCAAAGCTGATTGAAAAGAAACTTCCATCACGAAATGTTCTTCAGCTTTAGCCAAACTTTTCGAAAGGAAATGACTAGCACTTATTAAACTGGCGCTCCTCCAGCGCATGCCACGAACACGCAATCAAATGCCGCACAAAACACCTAGTTGTGCTTGAGTGTACTGGAAGCTGTGCTGCTCTACTGACCCAGTGTTGCCAACAAAATTGCTCTCGCCGGCTCTGCTCTGGCGGTACAGTTGCTAGCACCACCACATGGTGCGCACTCGAAATATGCGTCGGCGTGCATCTAATGGCAAAGCTGGCGACGTCTCAGGCATAGTATTTTTCTAGGAGGCGTTGGCCTTAGTGACAACTACTGTAATTTGTGGGCACATGACATAATGCAATGCCTTGGCAAACGCTTGCAAGTGTCATTACCGTGCTGACACACTTTAATCGCCACTTCTGCCTGCAGTATGCAGAATGCACATCATTTTTTACTGTGAAGTCTCAGTTCTACACCTTGTTAGTTTTATGGCCGATTCAATAGGTTTATTATGGGTGAATTTGTTACTACATAAATTGTAGCAACCTGCAAATATTTAGCACACATGCAGTGGACTCCCATTAAACGAAATTCGCTTAAACGGAAAAGCCGCATGAACGAAACTATCTAGACACATTTGGTTGGTCTCCTATATATTTACTAAAAACTTTCGGGTAGTCGGAACATTTTTTTCCCCTTACATTGGTTTAATGAAACTAAAACGGGCAAAATCCTTGAACGGCAGAAGTGGTTGCGGCAGTCTGGCAACCATGAAACAAATGCCGAAGCTAGCCTAGCCAAGCCAATCCAGTGATTGCGCATGTCCGCGCACACCGAGCAGCATAGAGGAAAGAAACAACTTGGGAGAGGCCCTGACGTCACTCGTTGTGAAGCCGTGGTGAAACCGGAAGTCGGCCATATTGACTGGGCAAATTCTCCTCTCTTGTTTACATCAGAATGTAAAGCAGAAGGCGCGACTTTCTCTCTGGCTCAGAAAGCACGTGGGCTGCGCAGCGCGTGTGTCGTGATGATCTGAAACTAATGAAAACGGGGCTCAACACTCTGGGCCAGCGCGACACCTTCGGCGAAATCATTTCGTCGGAGTATTAACATCGAGTAACAGCTCGCCAATAACGAAGCAAGTACAAAAGAACGCGCACTAGATGCACTGACAACGGCGAGTGTTTTCACGTCATTAATTTAGCAACTGTACAGACAACACGATCGGTCGTGCGCCTTCTTCTACGGTTGCATTCCGCCACGCGGCCGACCACTGTGTAAGTGTTCTGCGTGAAGCTCACCGGCGTCAGCATTCTGCGACCGTGGTGACTTTAAGCACGGTGCAAGTGAAACTTAAACGCAGTTGCTCTAACGTTGAGGTTGCAATGCTGAAGGCTAGTATAACAAGCGAAACAAAAAAAGGTGTTTTAATATGCACATGCTAGTTGTTACTGTACACATACCAAACACGAAACTGCGTATGTGCACATGGTCCTCATAGCATCTTGCTGGGGGCAACAGTTTCGTCCGTTGTCACAAGCAGGGGCACTGCCCAACTGTCGCTGACCTGCAAGGCATGCGTCGTCGTTCCGCTTCGTCATGGTGCCCAATGCAAATTCGCGGAACACTTCAAATGCTTCATCCACATTATCCGCCGGACGACACGTGCAAATGCGCTCGTTCTATACACTGTTGAGGCCTGACGGTGTACAAAAAGTTTTGTAAATGTTGCTAGGAGCACAGTGACTGCCAGGAGAATGCTGCGTAACCAATATTGCGGTGCAGAACATGGATATCACGAGACCGGCTCAGCACGAGACCTTCGGAGGCACACGCGCTGCCACCAGCCGCAGCCACTCGCTGCTAGACCAGCTACACTGTGCAACATGTAATCACAGCAGTGCCGCTATTGTGTCTAGTGAATATGGCCGCCATGATGTCATTTCCTGCACACTTTTCACGAAGTGCACCGGCTGGGCATGCCCTCTCCTATCTTTTCTTCCTCCGTGCCGAGCAGCAAACGATCCGTCTCGTTTCCATCTTTTTTGTTTCCATCTCCTCGTGAACGTGAGATAGAAACAAAAAAAAACGGCAGTGCAATGCACTTTTGCACGCAAAAAAAGTAAAAATCATTCGACTGCAATGACATATCGAAGACAGAAATTGTGAAGAGGTTCAATATTCTTAAGTGCACACTGTTGAGGATACTCAAGAACAAAAGGAAAATTGAAGAAGCTGCAACGCTTGGAAACTTCACTACGGACAGAATGCGAATGAGAACGGTGGCGTACAAAGAAATTGAAGATGCTCTTTTTCTCTGATTCAAGCCTGGGCGTACTGCGAACTTCCCGATCAGCGACTCCATTTTCAAAGAGAAGGCCAAAGGGATTGCTAATTGCATGGTGGTCGAGCACTTGCGGGGGAGCGATGACTGTCTGAGCCATTTTAAAAAGGGGCATGATGTTGTCCTTAAGATAGTTTCTGGAAAAAGTGCGGCTGTAAACAGATATATCTGTAAGCAATATTAGCAACATTTTTTTTTATAATTAACTATATAGTATTGAATATACGACAGACTCTGGAGTTTTGCAGACACGCAG